TAGCAGTAGCTGCACTTGGAAAAGTTGTTGGAAATGCAGATTCTCGGGTTCTACTGACCTGTAGAATCAGAAACTTTGGAGGTAGGGTACAGAAATCTGTTTTAACAAGAGCTCCTGGTGATTCTGATGCCTGCTAAGGTTTGAGAACGAATTGTAATCATAGGTGAGATAGTATCACTCCTTGGCTCAAAATCCTGCAATGGCTTTCCAAGGTCGTTACAACAGCTACATGGCCATCCATATGCCACCCGTCCCGTGGATCCTTCACTGACTGCCCATCACCCTAGTCCCTGGCTCACTTGCTCCTTGGCCATACTCAAGGCCTTGGCACTTACTGCTCCTTCTGCCTGGAATGTTCCCCAGCTCCCCAGGCCCCCTACCCCATCCACTATGGCTCAATCCCTCACCACCTGCACCTCTGCTCAAATGTCACCTTCTTGTTGATATATTTATGGTCTGTCTCTTCCCACTAGAATGTAAGTTATTTGAGAGAAGGGCCTTTGTTTTGTTGGTGCCTGTATTCCCAGGGCCTGGAACTGTGTATCTGGTACAGAGTGAGTGCCCGGAAAACAGCTGGTGGAGGAATGAACAAATGATCTTGTATTGAGGTTCTACCAGATGCCAGACGCCATGCTAAGTACATCACCTCATTGGATGTGCCTCACTGAATTCCCACAACAAGCCAATGCAGTGTACATTATCATCTTTATTTTACATGTAAAAAAGTGAACTAAATGAAAAAAAAGTAACAAATACTAAAAAGAAAAAGAAAAAAAAAGAAAAGGGACCAAGGTATGGGGTTATCAAAAAAGGAAATTTTTCATAATCCCCAAATTCTGGGTCTGACGTGGAGCCACGTTCATCTACATTTTGTACCATCTTTACTGCTTTCTCGGTCTGGACACAGGAAATGCCAGCTTACTCTGGTATTTACCTAGGTGGAATGTAATTAAGGAGACAAAATCCTGCTTTCAGTGATCCCAGGACAAGGCTACAAGCAGAATTACTGTTTTGTTTCTGATATTTTCCTATTGTAAACACAGATGATAGACATATTTCCTGAATATTCGAGTAGTTCTTACTCTTCTGCCCACTTCCTTTTTTCAATTTTAAAAACAGTTCATAGTGTATGTTATTAAAGACCTAGTAGAAGCGGATACTTTAACATGCTTATTAATTTGCTTAAAAATGAGCTATCATGCATTATGGGGCTTTTTTTCCCACTTGCAATTAAAAATTGTATTCCCTGCTTAGCATCTGCCAAAATGAGAATCCAGTCCTGGGACCAGGGCTGAAGAGTGAATCTGGGAGTGTTTCATCTAAAAAGAGAGACCGTGCTAGTAGGCAGGCCCAGGGCCCCCCTCCTTCTCTGTCTGTGCACCCCTCTAGATGATCTCATCTCGTCCCATAGCCTTTATACCATCGCCATGCTGTTCACTCCTAGGTCATCAGTCGGGGTCCAGGAAGGAAAACAGAACCCATGCCGAGGAACGCGATGGAGGGAACTTAATCCAGGGAATTAGCTACAAAGATGCTAAAACTGTCCAGCAAACCGAGAGGGTGAGATAACTCAGAGAGGAGCAACAGCAGGAAGCCGCTACCCTCCCTGAAGCTGGAGAGACAAAGGGGCAAGGTGGGGTTTTCGAGAGTTTAGGGACAGTGGGAGTGGGGAACTCGAAGGAGAGTCGGCCCAGTGGGAACTCAAACCGTAGAGGAAATTCATGAATCTGGAGACGCTGCCCAAAGCAGGGAGACGGAAAAGTACTCTGGCTTTTTCCCTTCCTCCTGACCTTTAGTCTTTGGCCAGTACCTTCCACCAGCCAGACTTTCCCAGAAGCCAGTCATCAAGGAAGCTTGGGAAATGCAGTTTGTATGGGTCACCCCTGGACCCCCAACTTCCATACAGGGCAGAGCAGAGAAGAGAAGGAACTGAGTCAAAGCACCCACAGTAAATGATGGACACAACTCCTAAATTAACTGCTTCAGCTCAGAACTTCTCTCTGACCTCCAGATTCTTACATTCAGTTGTTCACTTGACACCTCCACTTGGGTGTCTCATAGTTCTAATTTAATACAGTCCAGAAGGAACTCGTTTTACCAGCCAGCTACCCCTGATTATTCCCCTTCTCAGAATGAATCACCCAACCCAGGCCAAAATATGGATGATCTTTGATTCCTTTCTTTCCTTACTCCCTATTCCTTCCAACTGTTTAAGAAAACCCTTTGATTCTATCTCCCAAACCATCCCTGCCCAGCCTTCTATGTCTCCACTCTTACCACCTGAGGCCAAGCGACCATCACTTCTCTGCGTAAGAATCATGACCTCCTGACTGGCAATGGGATCCACACTGTGTCTCCTTACAAGACATTGCCCAGAGGTCAGTTCCTGAAGACCTGGAGGGCACACGGAAGGAGTCAGGACTTTATTCTCAGTGCCATAGGAGCTGCCGAAGGGAGGGACCTAAATAATTTATATAGTAAGGAGATCAGCCTTGCTTCTTCATGGGGGATAAAATGTAAGGGGACAAAAATGGAAGAAGGAAGACTAGTTAGGAGGCAATTACACTTCCCAGCCCTCTTACTCCACCTCTTCTACCAGCATCCACTCGCTCAGCAGCCACTGGCCTTCTCACTGTTCCTCCAGCAAGCCAAGTCCCTTCCCTCTTTGAGGCTTCCCGCAGTCTGGAATGCTTGTCCTGATTTTAGCACAACTGGCCCCACATCATTTGGGTCTCACCCTCTCAGAGGCCTTTCCCGTCCAGGTGGTAGTAATTACAACTGTTCACAAATATGCCATCTCTCCTTAGGGGCACAAAGCAGGATTGCACTCCTCTGCCCCTTGGTAATTAGTTATGGCCACATGACTTGCTTTGGCCAATGAAATGTAGGCAGATGTGACATAGGTCACTACTGGGTAGAAGCTTTAGGAGCCACTGTGTGCTTCACCACAAGTTTTCTTCTGCCACAGTGACTAGCAGTGCTTCTCCCTTGACCTGAGACCTGGACTGAGGATGACAGTTGTTTAGAGCAGAATTCTCTGCAAGCCCACGGACACACAGCGTGAGCAAGAAATCAGTGTCTCCTGTTTTAAGTTGCTGAGACTTTGACTGCTGTTGCTGCATACCTGGCCTGTCTTGGCTGAAAGAGCCCCTCAGTCCATTCCATCAACCTGCATCACGTCCATTGTGAAAATACCAACTGTTGGTATACGATTTCTACTTGTTTTATTTATTAATTTTGTTTGCCCTACAAACCAACCCTCCAAACCCCACAAGAGCAGAGTCTCGGTCTACCTAGCTCACCACCATCCCCCCAGCTTTTAGAAGAGGGCTCAGTGCAAGTCAGTAGGCAACTATCTGTTCATTAAAGCTCCAATGCCTTGCACATAGAAGCACTTGTGGCCTGTACGCTGTATTGCCAAGGCAGCTGGAATGAATGAGTCTTGCACTCAGAACAGCCGGAGCATCAGAGCCTAAAGCTTCACTCTGCTACTTATGGGTTGGGACAGTTGCTTCGGTTATACTCTTCCAGTTAATTCACAGGAAACCAAGTTTCCCAAAGCCACCACGATTCCTTGGTCGGAAAAAGCCCTGCTAAAAACTATATGCAGCAGATAAACAAAAGGAGTGAAATCTTAGAACCATAAATCATGAGTGAAGTCACCCAGAGTTAGGAAACAGAGCGGACAAAATTCATTTTGATACTATTTTACCAATTCTAAATGACAGATAGTTGTCCTATCCTTTTGAAAGTTTTCTATGCCAGCTAAATCTAATTCCCCAGAAATGGCCAAATCTCCAATTTCACTACTGTCATAAAATATGAGCACTGAAAAGAACCCTCGGTGAGTACTCAATTCAGACTACTCCATTCATCAGCTAGCTTGATTAATTTTCATTGGAAACCTCTTAGGGTCTCACTGTTGTCGGCCAGAGGCTTAGAACTTAAAAACTCAAGTTAGAGATGGTGTTGCTTAAGGTCATTGCCTTTTTAAAACAAATATATTTTAAAACATTTTTTCTACCACCCCATTATATAATTATAACAGAGCTGTAAAGAAGGTCCTGATTAGTGGGGAGGATATAGTTCAGTGGTAGATCATGTGCTTAGCATGCATGATGCCCGGGGTCCAATCCCCAGTACCTCCATTAAAGTAAGTAAATAAACAAACCTAATTATCTCCTCCCTAAAACAACAACAACAAAAAAACCCAAAAACTTTTTATAGAAAAAGATCCTGATTATGAAATTAACTGCAATATTTTTAGATTTTATATTTTTACTCCTCACTTAAAAGATTTTCTTCCAGGTTTCAAAATGTCTGAGATACTGAGGAAATAAACTCCTAAAACTATGACATTATTGTGTCTTTTAGGAACTAGCACCCTTTGTAGGACATTTGGTTTCCTTCGGGCAACCAGAGTAAATTAATTATGTTTTACTTATTTAGTTCAATCTCCCAGACCCTATACAAACAGACTATATCCTCAGGAAGTAAGAGCATTTTGTCCAACTTGCAAAAACAAAAACAAAACAAAAAAGCGCATTATCAAAACATCAATTCACTAAACATTTGATCTGAAACTGTCAACTTTTAATATTAATAGATGGCAATGTCTGCAATCTTGTCCAATCTAAATTCAATTTGATTAACCAGGTCCTAATCCTGAAGTTCTGGTACTAGGTACCTGCAGATGGAACTTTTTATGAAATAAGAACGTGCTCACATCAGTCCCCCACCTGCTGAAAATGAGACCGTTTGCTGATCACAAGTCTCTGAAACAAAGCCATAGTCACACGCAGGAAATCATTTAGAGGTGATTAAGGAAACAGGAAATTTTCACATTGGCTTTAATATTTATAATTTACCAAAATTTTCCTGAATTTGGTCATCATTACTGACATTTTCTATAGTTCTATTTACTGCATCTTGAAAATTGAAAAAAAAACTAAGCATAAAATGTACAGTTGAAGAAAACTGGATGTCAGTCTATACAATGATTTTTCACTTTCAGCATGACAGACTTTATTTTGGCACTTTAACAAATATTTTGCTTTACAGCAGTGACAAAATATTTGCCAGAAATTTCCTTTTCCTGGCATGGATATTCCAAGCAGTTGTTATTCTACGAACTGAGTTTCACTATGCTTCACACAGTCAGAGCTATACCCCCTACATTCTTAACCTCCGTCCCTGAGGGACGTTGTGCAGTTTCAGAAGGTACCACCACTCCCTTGTAACCCCTCCAAAATGGATGGATGGCTCTAAGTGACGGGACAAAAATCTGAGAATTAAGGCCATTAAAAATTTAAGTAAACGCTGTTCCAAGTGATGCATAAAAAAAATTTTTTTAATGAGTCATGTGGCAATCCCAGGGAATGTTCTCTGAATGAAGTAGACAGACTTCAGTAAGAGTAAATCGTGTGTTGGAAAGGTTGCTGTCTGTGCTATCTTCTTCCTACTTTGGCGGCTCACAGTTTATACTTAGTGGTCAAAGAGAAAAAAGGAAATGTTCGGTTAGAAGGATGTCCCCAGACAGGGTACCCTCGCTATTTCCACCTCACCCTCAGGCATCACTGCTCCCTGGCAATTTCGTTTGTAAGCAGAGACGCTCTCCTTTCAATGCACAGATCCTCCCTGTCCTCCTCGTCCTCTGCAGTGTGGAAGATGGTATTCCATCTATCAGCTCTTCCACTGAGCTTCAGGAGAGACTGAGAGCACAGTCTGAAACGTAAAACAATCTGGAGGACTAAGCCATAGATACTGATGTCAGGAAAGCCCCCTTTCGTTCTTTGGAATTTATATTCCTGAAAGTTATTTGCAAAAGCAGGCCTCCATCTCAATATTGCCATCAGCTATCCTATAAAGGTTGCAAAATCCACAATCCCCTCCCTGGCAGCCTTCCAACATCTACATCCAAACACACACAGGGTGATACATTCAGATTTCCTCTGGCCAGTTCAGAAGCCGATCTGGTAATAAACAGTCTCGTCAACGAGCTCTTTGGTTTCGATTTACAGACACCGTGGAACACTCAGAAATCAAACCCACATCATCCTTGAGCGCAGACAGTCGTTAGCAGAGGGGAGAGATACATTTGATCGAAAATGTACAAAATTTATAACAGTGACATTTTCAACATTAGGCCACATGATTTATTCAGTAGTTTTTATGTTCCCAAATTACAATTTACGTCTATTCGTAAGACTACAAAAGTTACCATTAGAATTGTCTGTGCTTATAAAATACCAACTTTTTTTAACTGTTATATATACTCATTAACACCAGTCTGCGACGAGTTACATAGAATCATAGGCACTTCAAAGGCTTAAAAAGACGTTTACAACTTAAATGCATTTTTAAGAACAAAAACTGATTTTTTTCCTTAAACCCCTACTCGTACCTTCAAATTGCAAGAAATTAACAAATACAGTGGCCAAAGGAATCTGCAGCAACTTCTCAAAATACTGTTAGCATCTTTGGGTTTGCTGAGGCTTGTCAGTAACTCACATCAAATCCTCCCAAAAGAAGATCTGATTAGATAGATAGGACTAAACAGTTTTGTGGTGATAATCCAATTTTACATGTTAATTTGCTATTGCAAATCTGCCTGAAGCTACAGGTGACGAAAAACAAAGCAAGTGTAAAATGGATAGTCTGACACTTAAAAATTTATACAAAGTGGAGGTTAAAGTTACATATTTGAAAATCACATATACACTAAATTACCATAATCTGAATTATCCAAAGACAAATTGCACCGTAACAGCTACAAAAGGCATAGAGTTTTGTTTTGTTTTCAAGAGGACAAGAGGGAAGAGCAGAGGAGAGGGAAACAGATAAATTAACAAAGTAAGACCAACTTGGTAAGGTCAATCGGAGACATGCTGACACAAATTAAACAGCTTTCATCTTCGAACCACAGGATAAAAACAATCTTTTCATATTTGCGCATGAAAGTTTAAACCGATTCCATGAACATTGAGGGTTTTTGTAACATTTATATTTTGCCACTGCTATTCACAGAACACTGCAGATGTTAAGTTTTAATTTTATGTTGTTCTAAAGAAATACATGGAAAGTTTTAAATACAATGGGCTTTTATCATTAAAGGGCCATTTGGCCCTTTAATGAAAAAAAAAAGAACCAAAAAACAGAGATCTTCATTATTCTATGCAAAAGCTTTATTTTTAAAAGTTCAGTGATCTCATAAATAGAGACACTAAGACGAGTTTTCACGCATAAAACTCCTTAGTAGGCGCCTTCTGATAAGCAGCACTGGATGGCTTGCGTTCTCCAAGGTCATAACTTCCTTCATCCTTCTTTCTCATGCGATACACCAGCAGCAGGATGAGGAAGATGGCAAAGAGAAAGCCAATAACTCCACCAGCAATGACAGCTGAAACACACCGAAAGGAAGGTCACTTTCTGAAGAGATTCAAGGGTGGCAGAAATTAGCTTTTGTCCAGTCCAACCAATTTAAGCTTTCACAAAAAGCTTAATTTGAAAACCCCCAAACTCTGAAAAACTGGACTCAGTGAAGCAACCAGGTGATTATGCAAATCTGACATTCCTCAGGAGACCCAATATTTTCTTTGATTAGTATTAATAATATCACTCAAAAGCCTCAGTACGAAAAACCTGGCTGTGACCGAACTAATTCCATACTTTGAAATTCTTGAGTCTGAAATTCAGTATTCACATGCTGTAGGCTCATCTTCTAATTGCTTTTCCGATGAAAGCTCAAGACATGATATAACTGACTTAAATTCTGCAAAGGTAAATATGAAAGCATGCAAATTTCCTTTCTAGTTTAGGATTTGGGACTACGGTTTTCGGGATTAAATATTCTTAAATCTTGCAAATCTTCCCCTTTAAAATGAAATGTTCATACTTTCACCAGATAAGTTACAATTAGAGACAACATTCTTAATGCCTTGGGCACTGTATCTACTATCCGCACGGTAAAGAACTTTTCCTTCTCTCACGGTTATTTTGAAAACAGGATGACTTGGCTCAAGATTGACTGATCTTCACATTCTGCCACCCCCCGCCCCCAGGCCCAGCTGTTCTGGACCAATTCAGATCAGACGGTAACTTCTTCCTGCCTCCCCCGACCCCACCCACGTGGCTGGCCAAGGGGGAGGCTGAGGGAGCTGGTGGAAAATAAAGACAACATTGCCTAACTCTTATCTCTTGTTCTGGAAGGAGACAGGCCCTCAAGACCGCTGTCAGTAGGTAGGCAGCATTCAGCAAGCTTCGCCTACACCTCTGAGTATCACTTGGACAAACACAGGCCTAGTTAAGGACCCTCCCATCTGACCCCCACTGGCCTCCTCACCTGCCAGGACTTCTGTTCGTTTAAACAGATTGTCTGAGTGCTTCTCAGTGTACACGTTTGTATCCTCTTCAGCAGGCTCCATTTTCCTTTCTGAGTCAGAGAGGTGAACTTTTTCCTTATCAATCTCTTCAGGTGACTGGTATGGGGAAAAAAAAGAAAGATAACCAAAAAAAATTTTTTTAATGTACTGGAAAGAAGAAATAATAGATAAGCACACTCAAAAGTCTGCTTTTTTCAAACACCAAGTTCAGGAAATAACTGGAATCATCTCTTTGGGTGACATGTATACCAATGGGTGAGTCCAGCGACGGACCCATGTTGTTCATGGTTTCAGATAACACCCATCACGTGTATAGGTAAGATGGACAGTTAGTGAGTTCATAATAATCCTAATGACATGGTTAGGTTGGTTCAGCTGACATTTCAAAACATCTCTAACTTTATCATCACCCTTCTGACAACCCACTCTGGCTACTCCAACCCAACAGCATGGCCCCAGTTCTCTCTCCTTCATCATGTCTCTGCTACACAGGGCACTGGGATGACACCCTCCTTGTAGGCATTCTCTCCACGTGTTCTCCCAGGGCTCCTCCTGCTGCCACACTGTGGGGAGCAGTCCCCAGGCTCCATCTGTGATGTTCCCCTCTATTTATTCACTCTTACACCTCCAGTAAACCCTGGATTAGAGCTTCGGGGGGCCTGGGTTTTGCAAGTAGCTCCTGTGTGATCCTGATCAAGCCATATCACTTTTCTGGACCTCACTTTCTATATCTATCCAATGAAGGGCACGCTCAGATTCTTGAGTATTCTGCAATTGTAAATAAAGCACAAATCTAAGATGATAATTCGTACCACCTCACCTCCAGGCAGCATCATCCCCACCTACCCAGCAGCCTACAGGACCCTCACCCTTAGCTGTACCATCAAACCAGATTGACCCTTTTTTCCATTTCCATTAATGGTACCGACAATCTTCCTTTCACCATTCTCTCAAATTCAGTGTCTTCGTAGATTCTCATCTCCACAGCCTTGTCAAGGTCCTTATCACATCATGCCCAAGTTCTTGCAGCAACCCCATAACTGCAAGTGCCAGGTGGCTTCCTGGGTGATCCCCCAGGTCATTGCTTAATCTTCAGCAGGAAGCCCTGCAAAGCCATCTCTACCGCTACTTATTTACGAGAACTGGTTCTGAACCTTTATGCCTTGGTTCCTGCCGTTCTCCCAACTCCAGTCCAAAATTTTCACTTCTTTCATTGTTCATTTGTCCTTAATGAAGCCCTCTCTATCTTTCACCTCTCTAAAACCCCTGAACACTTTATTGTCTACCATAAATCATCTCTGAGTCATAGTCTAACACATGTATCATCTGTTGGCTTTCTAACCTTCAGCACCAACGCCGGGCATCTTGTATGAATGACCAAGATTACAGTGAAATCTGAAATCACTTGAAAAGTTAAGATATGTGTGTGTGTGTGTGTGTGTGTGTGTGTACAGGTCCACCACTAGATATTCTATTTCAGTTGTTCTGGGGTGGAGAAACTGGCATTGATTTTTACTGCTACTTATTTAAAGATTTCCAGACAATTCTGTGGTTTGAGAACCACTGAATTAGAGACACTCAGTTCAAATGAGTTGGCTATTCTCTATCAGGAGGAAGTTCTTGCTGGCCAACACTACTGATAAGAAACACTGCCAACTCCACTGGCCTATCACTGCAGACAAAAACCCTCCTTAGCGCTACCTCTCTCCCTGAGAAGAGGCAACCACCTTCATGAGGGCAGTAAGCTGTGGCCCAGTGAAGTGACGGACTGCTTCTGAAATCCAGGATTCATTCAAAATGACCACCTGCCACTTAAGTTCAGAAGGTTAAATAACACAAAAGACCTCACCTTCTTGGGGTGCCTTAAGGTCATCGGTATTTCTAAAGAAGGATCACTAGCTGGGCTCCATCCCAACTCCAGAGTATGTGAGGTCAGTGGACAGAGCGGGAGGCTCCCACTGAAGACGGCACATAGGAAAGCGTGATGAAGAACGTCTGTCTTACTTTCCCAGGTGGCAGGAAACCCTGCAGTGCCTTAAACCTCAACCCGCCACGACTTGCAAAAAGCAGAGGCCACAGGGAAATGATCATTGCATTGCTGTACAATGTGCAACCCAAGTTTCACTCTTCTCCCCGTGGCTGCGAGAGGAGAAAACAGGAAAGACCTCCCCGGCTTTCAGGCACTACGGCAGAGCAGAGAAGAGCCCGCTGGCAGCATTCTGCCCGAGTTCCCTCCACGCTTCTCATGGAAAGCCCTTCGCTAACTGGGTGCCTGGCGGCATCCCGAGCAGACAACTCAACAGGGCAGAGAATGAACTATCCGGGTTCAAACCTAGGAACTTTTTCTCCGCTTGTTAGCAGTTAGGGGAGGGTTAAGAAAGGGAGGAGGAAACTCAGGTAGCTTGAGACCCAGGTTTGTGACCAGAGGGAAAAGACAAGCGAGTTCTGGTGGTGAATAAGGCGAATGGAAGTAGCCACTGTCATATCAGAGACTGAGCTGAGCTCACCTCCAGCTCCTGTGTCCCATTATTATGACAAATCCCATGATTCCCCCTCAGGTGTTCCAAGTCCCTAAAATCACCCGAGAGGTGACATTTCCACAGCCTCTGATCAGCTTCTGATGCCCAGCAGCCAGGAGGTCACCCCAGAACTGGGACCACCATGTACTCACAGGAATGGCCCGTCAGTGCATGAGCTTCCGGGCGCTCTGGATGCAACACTCACTCTTTAAATGGAAAAGTTCTATTATTGTATGAAATCAGGGGTTTCACTAATAAGAACCCCTGCTACACCAAAGAACTAATCTGATACCTTAACTCCTGTACACACCTGCCAAGTGAAAGGCACAGGGAAAGGCTGCACAGGGATGCAGTGAAGCCCATTCAAGGCCTGTCACATCCAAGTCTGGTTGTTTGGATGTCATGGAAATGAGAAGGACGTGAAAGATTATAAGCGATGCTCTGCTTGAACAAACAACTGTGCTTTTATTTTTGTCACATAAATTAACAACAAACTAGACAGAATATCTGTAACAGTGACATTAATGCCACTGTGAGACCTATTCAAAAGCAAAGTCTACATTAATGGTATCCTAGAGGCAATGTTTAATTTAGACATATAACTAAAAGTAGACAATTTAATCACCATTAATATTATTCATTATTAATATTATCAGAAGTACCTAGAATAGTGCTTGACACAACGAGTAGCATGCAACAGATCTCCCATGAATGGATGAATTTTTATTATTACTACATCGAACACAAATGATACCAGGAGTACATCAAAATGTTTTCGGGTCTTCAATTTCTGAGCTCATCCACCAAAAGTCTACCTTCTTTATTTTAATGACATAATTACTTCCTTAAAGCTAACTTTAAAAATCTTAAATCAACTTTCAATCCACTGTTATCAACTGACAAGGGAGCTCTACGTCAAATTAGGTTTTGCCTAGGAGAAACTCTACCACGAAATGCCGAAACTGAGTTTTTTGTCTCAAGCTACGGAGTCCTAATGGTTGCTGACATCAAGAGACTCAGTCATGACAAGTGGTCAAATAAACACGTGGTAAGGGGTGGAGGGTAGAGCTCAGTTGCAGAGTGCATGCTGAGAATGCACGAGGTCCTGAGTTCAATCCCCAGTACCTCCATTAAAAAATAAATAAATAAACAGTCAATCAATCAGTCAAATTACCTTCTCCACAAACAAATGAACAAAAGAACCATGTAGTAAACCAGCTGCCACATGGGTGACTGGGCCAATGATGAAAAGACCATTTGTCCTTACACAATTTAGAATGGTGCCTCTTAAAAGGAACATGCTGTACAATTTTTAAAAAGGCACTTTACAATAACCTGACAACACAAGGCAAAACAAAACACACCTTCGTCTGAGCAGGGA